CCATGGGAACCCCAAGGGAAACCCGAGGCAAACTGTAAAACAATCAAGGGACACCGAGCCCCTCCCCAACGAAAAACGTTCCTTCTCCAGGGCCCCGACTGTACCTGTCGCAGGAGACGCTGACGTGGAGGTGCCGACGCAGGAGTGGGGAGCGCGATGCATCCGTCCTGGCAGAGCAGAGGACACGGACCCCTTGCAGCGGAGGCCCGGCGCCCACGGCGCGTGGGGAGGGACCTCCCGCCCACCGCCGTGGACGCCCTCGACCGCGTGCTGGCCTCGTGCGGCGAGGGCACAGGCCTCGGACGGGATCCCTCGCACCCGCGGCAGCTGCGCTGGCTCCAGCCCCGCTGCCGCAAGGCATGCCTGGACGCAGTGCATGCCTGGGAAGAAAAACCCGACGCGGCGTCCCTCGTGGCCGCCGCTGTCAGCGTCTCTTCACAAGCCCCCGCCCGGGGGGGTCAGGCCAATCATCCAGGCGAGCATCTGGGCGCGGGCGTGGACTAAGCTGCGGCAGCCCATCGCTGCCGAGTGGGAGCACAGGGTCGACCAGTCCTTCCACTGGGGAACGGCAGATCGTTCCTGCGAGAATGCTGGCTTTGTGCGCAGCATGATGACGGCCTTCGCGAAAAAGACGGGCCTGGTGTCCAGCAAGCTGGCGGCCGACCTCACGAAGTACTACGAGCTCATCAGCAGCGACGAACTCTACGACCAGGCGGTCGAGACAGAGTTCCCGATGGTGCCCCTCAGGGCCCTGTGCTCCAGCTACCGCCTCCCTCGCAAGGCGACGCTGAGCCGGGGGCTGACGATCGAGGACAACGGCGCCACGGCAGCTGGCTGCTCGTGCGCGGTGGGCGCGGCGAAGCTGCCGACGCACACGCTGCTGCGCAGCGTCGTCTCCAGGTACCCGCTCGTAAGAGCACAGAGCCTGGTGGACGACTGCCTCCTCCAGGCCGTCGGCGCGTCGCGCTGGGCGGGGCCCCCACTGCCGCGGGCCGCCCGCGACCTCTTCCGGCGACTGCAGAAGACGCGCCTCGAGATCCACTGGGGCAGGAAAGGCTGGCTGGTCACTGACGCTGGGCGGGCCCAGTCGCTGGATCAGCACTGGGCCGAGCTGGGGCTGACCAGGCGCGCGGGCCTGAGGTGCCTCGGCGGCGACGGCAATGACGGCAGCAGGCGCCGCGTGCCTGAGCAGTGCGAGCGGCTGGCCAAGGCAAGCCGCGCGGCGGCCAAGATCGAGCTGCTGCAGTCGGCGGGGGCGAAGTCCTGCTACCTGCACCGAGGCTCGCCATGTGCCGCGGCGGTCTGGGGCTCTGCCGTCGCGGGGATCGTGGGCGGCAGGCTGGACGGGCTGCAGGCGCACGCGCTCCGCTCCGAAAGCAGGCTGGCGGCCGGGGCCTGCCGCGCCCTCAGGGTGCGCACCGTGCAGCGCGCGATCTTCAGGGGCCCGTTCGTGGTGAACGCGGTGGAGGTCGCCAAGGCCTGGGCCATCGGAGTTCGCGACGGGCCCCTGCAGCGATCGCGTGCGCGAAGAATGTCTCCGAAGCTCTCAGCCTCATGAATTCCAACCGCCGTGTTCGGGAGAACTGGTGGCTGAAGCGTGGCAGCAGTGCAACGGTGAAAAAAATAAAGCACACGCCCTAGCGTCCAGTGGTGCCTCTTTCTTCGACACCTGGTGCTGGTGTGGCAATGATCTAGCGGACCCATGGGCTAAAACGGAGGACCCACTCTGGAACACCCCACCTTAGAGGAACCTCTGCACTGAATCCTGTGAGGACCTGGACAGTAAGCTTGTCTTGGGTAGGTAAAGTTCAGGCCTGGATAGGAGACCATTAGGCCTGGGACACTGAGGGTGTGGTAAGCACCTCGGATGTTGTCCAAGACCTAGAATCTGCCATCGATGATCCCGATGCTGTGCACCTAAAGGCGGCCCTCAAGACCCGTGGGCTTCTTGGCTGGACGTCAGCGTCCCCCGCCCCACCGCCGCTAGAGCCCGAGCCCGAGCCGTCTGAGGAGGTGGGGGTGGATCCGGGGGTCGTGCCTGGGAGGCCGTGGCTTTTTCAGGGGCACTCGGTGGTGAAATGCGAGGGGGGGGGTCCTGGCCGCATGTGTGTTGTTTCTGTTGCAAGTCCTGTGGGGCCTCACTGGCCCAGCGAGATGCCCCTGACAGAGGCCCTGCAAAAGCCTGCCTGGGACCTCGGCGCCCAGGGCTCAAAGACCCAGAGGTCCCGCATGCGTCGGTGCCTCCACCCCGCGGCCCCCGCTCCCCATCTCGGCTATCTGCGCTCAGCGGCCCCAAGAAGGCTGACATCGACTGGCTGCAGGGGAAGCTGATGGGGTCCAGCGTGGGTATTGGGACCTCGTCGGTTGGGTCCGTCGCGTCGGGGCCCGCTGGCGGGCCCCCTGTGGGTCCCGTGGCCGATGGTACCCGGGGCCCCGCCAGCTTCCACCAGTACGGGATGTCGGTCCCCATCCTGGACCTGGCCCAAAATGCGCGCCTACATGGTTTTGTTTCGCCCGAACTGCTGTTGAATGTAATATGGCTCTGGTGGTGGTTTTGGTTTTGGTTTTGGTTCCGGTTCTGGTTCCGGTTCCGGTTTTGGTTCCGGTTTTTGGTCATGGTTCTGGTTCCGGTTCCGATTCCGGTTCTGGTTCGGGTTCGGGTTCCGGTTCTGGTTCCGGTTTCCTTCATTTTGTGGGGCTGGAAAAGGCCCCTTTGGTGACGGTTCCGGTTCTGGTTCTGGTTCTGGTTTCCTTTTTCTTCCGGGCCTGAAAAAAACCTTTCAAATTCTGGTGTTGGTTCCGGTTCCGGTTTCCTTCTTCTTCGGGGTTTTGAAGAGCACCCTCCAAGTACCGGTTCTGGTTCTGGTTTTGGTTCCGGTTCCGGTTCCAGTTTCATTTTTCTTTTCGCCTCAAAGAAGACACCCTGGTCACGGTTCTGGTTTCGGTTCCGGTGTCCTTCTTCTCCTGGCCTCTAAGAAGACCTCCTGGTCACGGTTCTGGTTCCTAGTTCCGGTTCTGGTTTCCTTCTTCTCCTGGCCTCGATGATAGAATCCCTGGTCACGGTTTCGGTTTTGGTTCCGGTTCCAATTCTGGTTCCGTCTTCTGTCTCCGAAGAAGACCCCCCAGGTCACGGTTCCCGTTTTGGTTCCGGTTCCGGTTCCGGTTTCCTTCTTCTCTTGGTTCGAAGAAGACCCCTTTGGTCACGGTTCCAGTTCTGGTTTCGGTTCAGGTTCCGGTTTCCTTGTTCTTCTGTCTTCGAAGAAGACCCCCCAGGTCTCGGTTCCGGTTCTGGTTCCGGTTTCTTTCTTCTCTTGGCCTCGAAGAAAACCCTCCTGGTCACGGTTTTGGTTCTGGTTCCGGTTCCGGATTCCTTCTTCTTCTGTCTTCGAAAAAGACCCTCTTGGTCACGGTTCCGGTTCTGGTTCTGGTTCCCGTTCCGCTTTCCTTCCTCGTCTGTCTTCGAAGAAGACCCCCCTGGTCACGGTTATGGTTCTGGTTGCGGTTTCTTTCTTCTCGTGGGGCGATCTTGGGAACCTCTTGGTCCGTCTCGGAGCGTCGGAAAGCCGAAAAGGCGAGAAGGCCAACGATTATCAAAAACATTAAGAAAATCGCTGATTTTTGCTTCGTGGGGCCCTTTCGGGAGGCCTCTTGGGACGTCTGGGGAGCATCTTGGGCCGTCTTGGGGGCCATTTTATGGTTCTGGCCAAGTCGGCCATATTCGGCCGTCTTGGCCTCCTGAAGCTCTCTTCGGCGCCTCGTCGGGCAATCTTGGAGGCCTCTCGGGCCGTTCTGGCCGCGCGGTGGCGTCACCATGAGAACCCTGGGGTGGCCCGAAGCCAGCGCGACGAAGAAGCTGGCAGAGAAGCAGCCCACGCGTGCACTGAAGAACAACGACTCCGACTCATCTACTGCGACATCTTCTTCATCTGCTACTTCATCTGCGGCGACCGTCGCCTACGCCGAGGTCGCCACCTACGTCCACGACCTCGATGCGTATGCGGTCTGCAAGGTGTATCTCTGGTGGAGGACTGAAGAGTACGACAAGCGCGCGTACAAGCCGCCACCTCGCAACACCCAGCCTCAGAAGAGCGCCTTGAGGAAGCGGAAGGCGACCGACGAGCCGAAGAACGCCCCCCCGAAGAAGAAGGCGGCGACGATCTGTGCTGGGAACCACCCCTCGCTGAAGTATGGCACGGTGGAGGTGATCAACATCGGCAACACGCGCGCCCAGGAGAATGGATGGACCAAGGGGGGGCCGTTAATACCACAGGCTGGGCCGAAGGTCTTCTGCGAGCACTGCGGGCAGGTGAAGGCGAAGGGCCTCGGTGGGAGGCTGCACGGCGTGGGTGGGCGCACCCACGAAGATGCAAGAGGTGTGGTGGCGCATCGAGCGCTGCAACCCTGTGCAAGCGGCGCGACGTGCCGATCGAGGACGACTACCAGAAGAACCTTCCGCCACGCCGACCTCTGCTGCGCCGACGCCTGCTGCGCCGACGGTGGCTCATATATCACATACGATGCTACGATGTGGCATAATATTACATGAAATCAAGCCATACCATTATATATGATAATATACTGGGATCAATGAGGTTATACTGAAACATATGGCAGTGTATACTAGTGTATTCTATTACAGCACGATATACACGATTGCTAGATCTGGCACTAAACATTCAACAATTCTATATACGGTATTATATATTGTACGATGTCAATGTGTACATATTGTAGTGTGGTACGTTCCATTACATCAACATATGTTCTATTATATCAAATAATACTAAACAATTGCCCTCTGCAGTATGATACAGCCTTTTGTTGCATATGCAGTATTACTATATATGTATATATATAAAAACTGTCATAGTTTTAACCTATCATTTATTATGTTCTACGAGTAGATGATAGTCAAACATATTCATATGCCAAACATCATATTAAACATATTTACGGAATAAAGAACATTAGGCGGGCGGAGGCGGCCGGTAGCGGAGGGCCTCGCGGATCGCCTTGCACAAGATCTTGCAGCGCCCCTCCCAAGTGTAGACACCTGGTCACCGCTCTGCTCCTCCTCCTCGATCTCCTCCTCCTCCTCCTCCTCGTCCTCCTCCTCCTAGTCCTCCTCCTCCTCCTCGCCTTCCTCCTCCTCCTCCACCACCTTTTCCTCCTCCTCTCCTTTCTCTCCGAACCTGTTCCCCTTCCTTCTGTCCCCTTCTCATCATCCCTCCCTCCATTCACCCCCCCGCCCTCGTCATGTTCCTCATCCCGCCTTCGATAAGATCCCCCTTACTCGGCTGCAAGAGGACGCTATCCCCGCCCGCCCCGTCCACGCAGACCGATGCTGGGCCCAGATCGGTGGGCACGACCTGCAGGACAGGAATACGAACCACACCGGTCCCGGGCCCAATGTCAAAATGACATGGGTCGATTCATGTAGGAAGCCTTTGAGTTATGATACGTTTGTCCACGGGCGAACCTGGACAATGAATACATGCGCTGGTCGCGCTTGGTATCCTCACCGCAACGTCGCTTAAAGCTGGGGGGGGGCGCCGACGCGGGGTAACGGTAAAGCAGCGGGCGCGGGCATCGTACCAGGTAATAGCAGGAAAGGGGGTAGTAGCACTCCTGGCAAGTGCACGATTACCGGTAAACGTCACGACGTCGAGGACCACGACGACCAGCCAGAAGGGCGACGAAGACGACGACAAACTGCGATAACAACGACGACTGGTGGCAGCCACGCCGACGATTAGCGGCAACAAAGAATACTATTAGTCGAAAGTGGAGAACTAATGATATTAGTTGTGGTAGGAGGAGCAGCAGAAGCAATAGCAGTAGTAGTAGTAGTCGTAGTAGTAGTAGTAATAGTAGTAGTAGTAGTAGTAGTAGTAGTAGTAGTAGTCGTAGTAGTAGTCATAGTAGTAGTAGTAGTAGTAGTAGTAGTAGTAGTAGTAGTAGTAGTAGTAGTAGTGGTAGTAGTAGCAGTAGAACTAGAATTAGTAATAGTAGTCGTAGTAGTAGTAGTAGTAGTAGCAGTAGTAGTAGTAATAGTAGAACTAGATATAGTACAACTAGTAGCAGTAGTCGTGGCAGTGAGTGAAAGAAGAAGTAGTCGTGGTAGCAATAGTCTTCAAAGTGCTATCAGTAAGGCTAGCACTAATAATAACGGTTATACCAGGAAGGTGAGTACACGTAGTTGTACGAATACCGGCTGTAGTAATAGCCATACGAATCGCAACAAAAATACAAGTCGAACTCCTGGTACGGGTAGTCATACCGGTCGATATATGAATACTAGTGGTAGTTGTTGTAATCTACGGATACACAAGTGCACGGTAGAAACTTTCAGTCAACGGGATTAGTAGTAGTAGTAGTAGTAGTAGTCGTAGTTGTCGTAGCAGTGAAAGTAGAAGTAGTGGTGATAGAAGTAGTACTTTTCGTCCTAGTAATACTAGTAGAAAAAATAGTAGTAGTAGTCGTCGTAGTAGTAGTAGTAGTGGTAGTAGTAGTAGTAGTAGTAGTGGTGGTGGTGGTAGTAGTAGTAGTAGTAGTAATCATACTAGTAAGAACTAGTAGTAGTAATAGTAGTAGCAGTACTAGAAGTAGTAGTAGTAATAGCAGTAGTGATAGTAGTGGTAGTCGTCGTACTAGTAGCCAAAGTAGTAGTAGCAGTAGTAGCAGTAGTAGTAGTACTAGTAGTAGTAGTAGTATAAGTACTAGTAGTAGTGGTAGTAGTAGTAGTAGTCGCAGGAATAGTAGTAGTACTGACAGAAAAAATAATAGTAGTAGTTAGTAGTAGTAGTAGTCGTAGTAAAAGTAATGGTGAAAGTAGTAGTAGCAGTAGTAGTAGTAGTAGTGGTAGTAGTAGCAGTAGTAGTAGTTGTTGTAGTAAGAGTAGTAGTAATCGTAGTAGCAATAGGAGTAGTAGTAGCAACAATAGTCGTAATAGTAATGGTTGTAGTACTACTTGTGTTAGCAGTAGGGGTAGCCGTAGCAGTGGTAACAGCGGGTGTAGCAATAAAAACAGTAGTAGTAGTAGTAGTAGTAGTAGTAGTAGTAGTAGCAGTGGCAGTAATAGTAGTAGTAGTAGTAGTAGCAGTAGTCGTAGTAGTAGTAGTAGTAGTAGTCTTAGAAGTAGTAGCATAAGTAGTAGTAGTAGTAGTAGTAGTAGTAGTAGTACTAGTAGTAGTGGCCGTAGTAGTAGTACTAGTAGTAGTAGTAGTAGTAGTAGTAGTGGTAGTAGTAGTAGTAGTAGTAGTGGTAGTCGTAGTAGTAGTAGTCGCCGTCGCCGTCTCGTCGTAGTAGTAGTAGTAGCAGTAGTAGTTGCAGTAGTACTAGTAGTAGTAGTAGTAGTAGTAGTAGTAGTAGTAGTAGTAGTAGTGGTGGTAGTAGTAGTAGTAGTAGTAGTAGTAGTAGTAGTATAAGTAGTAGTAATAATAGTAGCCGTCGTAGTTTCAGTCGTAGAAATAGTAGTAGTAGTAGTAGTAGTAGTAGTAGTAGTAGTAGTAATTAGTAGTAGTAGTTGTAAAAGTAGTAATAGTAGTAGTAGTAGCAGTAGTAATAGTAGTAGTAGTAGTAGTAGTAGTAGTAGTAGTAGTACTAGCAGTAGGAGAAGTAGTAGCAGCAGTAGTCGTGATAGTAATACTTGTAGTAATACTTGTATTAGTAGTAGGCGTAGCCGTAGCAGTGGTAACAGCGGGTGCAGCAATACGAACAAGTAGTAGTAGTAGTAGTAGTAGTAGTAGTAGTAGTAGTAGTAGTAGTAGTAGTAGTAGTAGTAGTAGTAGTAGTAGTAGTAGTAGGAGTAGTAGTAGTAGTAGTAGTAGTAGTAGTAGTAGTAGTAGTAGTAGTAGTAGTAGTAGTAGTAGTAGTAGTAGTAGTAGTAGTAGTAGTAGTAGTAGTAGTAGTAGTAGTAGTAGTAGTAGTAGTAGTAGTAGTAGTAGTAGTAGTAGTAGTGGCCGTAGTAGTAGAACTAGTAGTGGTAGTAGTAGTAGTAGTAGTAGTAGTAGTAGTAGTAGCAGTAGTGGTAGTAGCAGTAGTAGTAGTAGTAGTCGCCGTCGCCGTCACCGTCGCCGTAGTAGTAGTAGTAGTAGTAGTTGTTGTAGTAGTTGTACTAATAGTAGTAGCAGTAGTTGTAGTAGTGGTAGTAGTGTTGGGAGTACTAGTAGTAGTAGTAGTAGGAGTAGTAGTAGTAGTCGTCGTCGTAGTTCCAATCGTAGAAATAGTAGTAGTAGTAGTAGTAGTAGTAGTAGTAGTAGTAGTAGTCGTCGTCGTCGTCGTCGTCGTCGTCGTCGTCGTAGTCGTAGTCGTAGTAGTCGTCGTAGTAGTGGAGTCGTAGTACGGGTACTGGTAGGTAGTAGTAGTAGTAGTAGTAGCAGAAGTAGTGGTGGTGGTGGTGGTAGTAGTAGTAATAGTAGTAGTAGTAGTAGTAGTAGTAGTAGTAGTAGTAATCGTAGTAGCAGTAGTAGTAGTAGTAATAGTAGTAAAAGTAGTCGTAGTCGTAGTAGTAGTAGTAGTAGCAGCAGTAGTAGTAGTAGTCGTAGTTGTAGTACTGTTTGACAGCATTACTGATGTCTCTGCAAGCGTTTGAGGCACCTTCGACGACGCGCCCCATGCCGCAACATGAAGGAAAAAACTCAGCGGCCGGCCAGGATGGGGCGCAGGGCGGTTGAATCGGGGTCGCAGGGTACGGACGCGGAACGTCTGTTGAAATATCCATAGACATACAAACAGGCCCCGAGACCTGGTCAGAGGACGCGGGATAGGCCTCGGCATCCCAAGGACGGCAGATTCCGGAAGACCATTGAATTCAAATTTGACCATCTAAGCTGGGCCTCAGGAAGCTCAGGAAGTAGTCGCCAGGATGCCCGAACGCCCTAAGCATCCAGAAAGGCCACTCACAATCCCCAGACTCTGCCTCCAATGTGGCCGCGAGTAGGTCGGGTTTAAAAAGCACTGCGCGCTGCTCGCCACCAGCTGGGCGATCCCGAATGCGGTGCCGAATCGCGTCGACTGCCTGCGCACAACGGCTGCAAAAGCCCGCGACCGGGCACCGCGCTAAATAAAGAGGACTGACCGTCTAAACCGCATGACAACCGGGAGCACGAATGATGTAAAAGGCCCTGGGGCGGGCGCGCATGGACCTGGAACGCATCTGAACGCGCGCCCAGCAAAACTGAAGCGCCAATCCTTGCGCGAACGAATGACGGGGACGACGCTGGCCCTCCATGAAGGGTCACAACCAAGAAGATGGAGGATGGTGAAAGAAGGATGTGGAGACTTGGGCGGCGACATGGGCGACGCGCCAAGGATGCGACAGCTGTGCAACTCTCGGTGAGACACTCCGAAAACGTCGGGGTCGAAGGCAGCGCCCAACCGGAGGCCAAAACATCAAACGCGCAAAGCCGATCACACCAAAAGTGCGCCTGCGTTGTTTTGCCATCCAACTTTCGTGAACAACGCAGCCTGCCTGGACTCGAGAATGGCGGATTTGCCCCGCGGCTTAGGCTCGCAAGGACCGGGGCCCCCACTGCGCAGAAGGGGGCAGGAGCATCGACAACTTCATTCGCAACCTTGCCCGCGTGAGCGATTCATGCGCCGTCTACGTATGCATCGAAATCAGCTCCAGCCCTGAGGGAGATGGCGTCGAAGGCCTGTAGCGCGAGAACTCCCATGACAGAAATGACCGTCGAGCAGCCTGTCGCAACTCCTGGCTGAACCAGAAGGGGCCAATCGATCAATCCCCCGATGGGCAAGGGCAAGCTCTGCGCGCAGACGTCGGAACGCGGTGAATCGCCACAAGGAAATCTGAGCCCTGACATTTTCCTTCCAAGCATCCGAAGGCTACGGCTGGGAATCCCGGCAGACCACCCCCCGAAGCCCAGCCTTTGTACGCCCCCGGCTCGGCCTGGAAACTTCGACGCCGCACTGCGGTTGGCCCCCTGCAGCCCAGCCGGGACCAGCGAAGCGCTTTTCCCGCTCGTGGGCAAGGGGGTGGCCAGCTAGCCCCCAGAACCGTTGCCAGGACACGAGAACCCCGACGGATCGAAAATCCCCAGCTGGTTTCGGCAAAAGCCACCACAGAAACCGACGCATGCCTGGAGGAGCCCCCCCGTCGCTTCCACGGCGCAAGTCGACGCCCGAGAGCGCCGCGAGCGCTGGGCCGCTCAGCTAAGCAAGCTGCCGAGCATGAAAAACGCCCACTGAGTCGGCACTCTGCTCGCTGCATGCCTCGCAAGCCGGCCCTGGCTCGGCCGGGGGAGATGTCGGGAGGGGCTGAACGGGGGAGACCGACGACCTCTCAGAACAAAACCACGCCCCCCCAGATCAGGCCCGGAAGCGCCTGCATTCGGCGGCCGGAAGGGGCCCGGGGCCCGCGCGAACCGAGCCGCGGCGCGGGGCGGCGGGGGGCGGACCTGGGGGGCGGGGCCCATCAAAACTGGACGCGATCGCCCCCCGATTGGCCGAGCCCCTCCCTGCGCCGGGCCAAGCGCGCAGACTGGTTGCCCTTGACGTGGGCCGCCTGAACCTGGTCCGGGACCGGGGCGACACCGCTCGCCGAGCGATCCCGACGCATCGCGAACGGCGCTAGCCTCGAAGGCCGGGGCGGCAGAGGCGCAGGGGCGCCCTCTCCAGAAGAACCGGGGCCCCGCGAGAGATCCCGACCAAACGCGAATCCGACAACCTCGTCGGGCGCGGCGCAGGAGGGGGGCACTGGGGGCCGCCGCGTCCTGAGCGGCCGAGCCAGCGGCGCGCTGAAATCAGATATGCGTGCCCGGAGCTCTCGCGGCGGCAGCGCGGGGGTCGACGGGGCGCCGCCGGCGCCCGCGAGAAGGGGCGCCCCCCCCTCCCCCCCTTGAGAAGAGCGTCCAATGTCCAATGCGCCCCGCGACCTGAAAGTCGCGCCCTCTGACTCTGGGGTCCTGGGGAGGGGGGGCCTGCGCCAGACGCTCGAAATTCGCCTCGACTGGTTCCCGCCCAGATCCCGCAACGTGCCCCCCCGGAACGCAGAGAACACCTCGACTAAATCGCGCTCCGCCCAGCTGGCCCAGGTGGGGCGGCCCGTCGCGAGGGCGCCAGCAGCTCCTGGCCCCTGTCGCCCGCGCCAGCCGCGCCGACGGCGCCGTTTGCGGGGCCCGAGCGCGCGCCCCAATCAGCGCGGCCCCCGCGAGATCGGGGGCCCGGAAGGAGGGCCCGCGGCCAGACGGGGGGGGCCCTGGAGGGCCAGCGCCATCAGATGCGCGAGCTGATCGCGGGACTGCAGCGCCACTGAGCGACGATGGCGCAGCGACCGAGGCCTCTGGAGACCTGGCTCGAGACATCGAAGAAATCAAGCCTGCGAAGGGGGGGTGCCCGGGAGGGAAAGCGCGCGCCGACGATGGGCCTCCTCCCCGCGCCTGTTTCGGAAAACCCGCGCGTTCTTGGATGCCTGGTCCGAAGCGGAAGCCCCCTGCCGCAATGCGCTCGCAGGGCTGGGAGGTGAGAAAGGCCCCGAGACCGCCGGCGACGCTGGTTCGAAGTCCAGACCAATGCCGCCCTGGCGACAAACAGGGCCGGGGATAAACTCTGGGCAGTCAGGCGCGCGAGCTTTGCAGATCACGCAGCGGCCCCGGGCGATGCGACGCGCGCATCAGGTGCAGAGTGGAGGCCCAGCCAAGACCCAGCAATAACAACAACAACTCCGGAACTACACTTCGCTTGGGGGCCCGGGGGGCCCAGCTGCCGCGGCGGCTTCCAAGCCGCGCGAAGCGCCGAAGCAAGCGATCGATCAATCTGCTCCCGATCACTCCTGGTGTGCCCTTGAAAAATGAAGATGCGGGCCGCGGTGCTAGAGCTCTCGACAGACTCCTCGATCGCGCCGCGCCAGTTTCCACCCGAAGCCCCGATCTGCAGAAAGGTCCGCAGCACGACATCCAGAAACCCTGGGCCAAGAGCCGAGATGCCAGGATATGGCGGAAAATGCGCCACGCCCTGGGGCATGGTCGGGCCCCATGAACCTCGGGGGGCAACTTGCCCACGACAGAATCGAACTCCCGCGCCATTCTCCTGCCTGTGGCTGGGGCGCAAACGTTTCTAAACATTACCCCTGGCGCGCTCGCCCCGGCGAGCGCGATTCAAAAAGCGGCCAATGTGCGCGATGGAACTCCCGGGCGCGGGCCAATCCCGACGCCGGCAAGCCTCCGAGACAGGCGGCCCCCCTCTCTTGCCAGGGGGGGGGGGGCTGAACCGACGAAAGCTCTGATGCGACCTGCTGATAAACATCGCGCGCGCTTAGCTCAGCTCCCGGCAAAGCCGCCAACTCGGCGCCACCCGATGCCGCCTTCGACGCCGATGCTCCCGCCGACCCATTCCGAACCCGAAGAAGCACCTGATGTATGAACGCCAGCTCGTAGAGCAACTCGAACTCCAAGTGTGCGTTGCTTCTGGTGCTATCCGGAGAGTGCTCCTGATGCTTCTTCTTGGCCTGGTTGATCTGATCGTGGGCTTATTGGACAATCCATCTGCAGCTGTCTGAACCCGCTTGGAGAGCTCGCCCATCCTCGCGCTGGCTTCTGTGGCATGATTCTCTGGCATCTACTCAGCCACCGACGCATTGGCAACATCGACCACATTCGTGTCAATGGCCTGGCCAATCGACATAGCACCCTCCGCGATCTGTTGAAGCGAAACTTGAAGCTGTGACTCACTAGTAGGAGCCATACCATCAGCGCTGCACTGCAGCTCGCGTACCGCTCCTTTGCGTGACTGGTGTGCTTGCTGGAGAGAATCGTGAAGGGGCTGCGTCTTCGCACGCTGCCACTCAAACTCCTCGCGCCATATGGAGAGCTGGGTAAACTCAGAGGGCAGGGCTTCTCTTTCCGAGCGACAAATTCGTGAACCTGTTGGACACACTGCTGAACTAATTGAACGGGTTGGTGCTCCTGACGGTCCAGAACGCCCACCATCTGGACGTACGTCTTTGCCTGATCCCCCCTGCCCTCTCGGATGGCGCCACGAGCTGCTTCACCTCCGAGGCTGAGAAATGGAACAGGCCAGCGGGCAACCCAGAGGAGTCTTCACGAAGCTGAGTGCTTCAATCACGGACTCCTCGATCGCAGGCACCACGTTTACCACCTTTGACATTCGCACCTTTGCCATATTTTCCTTTAGACTTGTCGTGGCCGCCACCAAACTTGCCAGACTGGAAAGCTGCTAAATACCAAGGACCCTTATGATGACCACGCTCTTTGTGCTTTGCCAGGTTTGCCTTGGTCGGCCTTGGAAAAGAGTTGTAGCAAATATTGCACCACTTGTAATGCCGCACGCTGCGCCGACATTCGCACACGCCGCAAGGTCCTGTCCCAGGCTAAGGTTTGGAAATGCCGTCGCCCTGAAATTTCCCCAGATCACACAATAATCCATTGTCACGAGAGTAAGAGGCAACACTGTCCATCGGCATGGAATATCCAATGGAGAAGTTGTTGTAACGGGCAATAGCATGGGGGATCCACGTCCACTGGAAGGAGACGGAAGGAAAGCAATCGGGGCCGCGAATTCCCCATGCCAAAGAAAGCCCTGTCCTTGAGCAGCGCCTCTGGGCGTCAGCCAGAATGGCTACGTACATCTCTAGACCAAATCCCTAGCCCTGTCCCTGTTCCTCTCCATGTACCCCTGCAACCGTATCCTTATACCCCGATCCCCATCCATGCCAGCGTTATCCCTATCCCCGTACCCCCATCCTGCCCATGGTAGCTGTGTAGAACTATGTGCGACACTCTGTCGCAATGGTACCGCGTTTCCAATGGACCTTGGGTTGGAATATCATGTGCACCCTGCTCTAGAACATGAACATCTCGTAAACGGATCTGCCCTTTTCAGAGACCTTGTACTGCGCCGAACGCAACGGCCGCGTTGTCTATAGACGCATCCACCACGAACGCGTCGATGTACGTAACGGCACCCAAGGTGTCTATAGACGCGTATGGCTAGAACATAGGAAAGGTATGTGGATATGCCCAAGATGTCGGTCTTCTGGAAGCAGGTCGACTTTACCCTCCAACCCCTGTTATCCCTATCCCTACCCCCCCATCCTTGCCCCCCTTCGTAACACTGTACAACTGCTCGCGGTCTCCTGCTGCAAGGGTGTCGCCTTCCCAGTGGACCTTGTAGAGGCCTCCCAGATGGGGTCGGAGCAAATGTGGACGGAGGGTCGGGGCGCACCGTCGATGCATCACCAATGCACCCGCGATGCACCACCGATGCATCGGCGGTGCATCGGCGAGGCCGACGACGCTGGAGCGGAGCAAATCGGGCTCCGCATCGAGCAACATCGCCCATGCATCGGCGATGTGGCGCGATCCTCCGACTTCATCTACTCCGACCCCCTCTGGGAGGCCCAGACAGACCCTCCTTTGTGGCGAACGTCGCGGGGCGCCCGCGCGCGCGGAGGAGGAGGAGGAGGAGGAGGAGGAGGAGGAGGAGGAGGAGGAGGAGGATTGTCTACTCCGTCCGACCCCAGTTGGGAGGCGAGACGTCGCCCAGGACCTTCGAGCCTGCGAGGGCGGGACCCGCACAGGCAGAGCCGCGGGAGGGGGCCCGCGCGCCTCCGGAGCTGCACGTGGCGGTGATGGAGCCGAGGTAGCCCGGGATGCACTGGAGGCGGCTCCGCCTCCTCCTCCTGCTTCATCCTCCTCCATCCTCCCCAACCCTCAGTCCCTTTCCTGCTCCGCGTCCTGCTCGTCCTCCTCCCTCTGAGGGTCCTTCTCCCTCCTCCGTCCTGCAACCTCCTCCTCCTTCTCCGTCCTCCATGCTCCTCCACCCGCCTCCTGCTTCTCCTCCAACCTCCATTCCCGTCCTCCTGCGCCTGCTCCTCATCTTCCTCCTCCTCCTTCTCCGCCATCCTCCTCCTCCTCATCCTCCTCCTCCTGGCTCCTCCCTCCTCATCCTCCTCCCCCAACTCATCCTCTCCCTCCTCCTCCTGGTACCACCAGAGACTGGCACAAACTCATCCTGGGATAGTACAGGCGCCACCGATGGCAGAGGAAGGAACAGAGCAAGGGAGGCAGGGACCTCCCTCCTCGTCGATCGTCAGCCCTGGATCCTCATCAACCTTCCTTCGATCTGCCGAAGTTGGGCCTCCTCCTCTTCCTCCTCCTGCTCGATCCCCAATGCTTCCAACATGCTCCTCCGTTTTCGCCTCCTCGTTCTCCGCGTTCTCCTCCTCCTCATCATCATCATCATCAGCATCAGCATCAGCAATAGCATCAGCATCATCATCATCATCATCATCATCATCATCATCATCATCATCATCATCATCATCATCATCATTGTCATCATCCTCATCCTCATCCTCATCCTCGTCATCCTCCTTCTCCTCGTCATCATGATAATAATCCTCATCAGCATCAGCATCAGCATCAGCATCATCATCATCATCAGCAGCAGCATCATCATCATTATCATCATCTTCACCATCATCAGCATCATCGTCATCAGCATCAGCATCAGCATCATCGTCATCATCCTCATCCTCATCCTCATCCTCATCCTCATCCTCATCCTCATCCTCATCCGCATCCGCATCCGCATCCGCATCCGCATCCGCATCCTCATCCTCATCCTCATCCTCATCCTCATCCTCATCCTCATCCTCATCCTCATCCTCATCCTCATCCTCATCCTCATCCTCATCCTCATCCTCATCCTCATCCATCCTCATCCTCATCCTCATCCTCATCCTGAACATCATCCTCATCCTCATCCTCATCCTCATCCTCATCCTCATCCTCATCATCTCATCATCATCATCATCATCATCATCATCAGCATCATCATCATCATCCAGACCCTCCTCATCCCACGTCTCTCGTCCCTCGATCCCCAATGCCTCAGACATGTTCCTTTTTCTCCTCCTCGGTCTCCACCTACACGTAAACGTAACATTTCGACGGTCAGCGCGGAATTCTTGGATCTGCGCTGGAACCCTCCCTGACGCGCGGAGCGCGCCAGGGGCGGCGCCGGAGGCTCCGCCAGGGTGATGAGATAATGTGTTGATTAGCAACAAGATCTCTTTTCATCTTGAGCCAAAATGGGTACACGGAGGAGGGTGTCAGAATCACTCCTCCTCGGGCCTGGCCGCCAACCCGGCCAGGCACGACATGCGTCGTACGCGGGCGCGTCCAAGCCGACACGCCCATCTCCACGTCACACGCGGGCGCGTCCAAGCCGACGCGCCCATCTCGTCAGCCAGGCTGCGGCCATGCCGCGAGCCCCATCACTTCACCCGTCCGGTGCGATCATACCGCCACCGGCGGAAACTCATCCAGCCCCACAGGTAGCGGAGCATGGATTCGATCCACTCCTTCACTTGATATCCTTCTGGGTCGAACTCGGTGCCCGATCCCAGCTGTTGAGCGTCGCCATGTGTCTCCTCAAGAGAGATCCACCCACGCTCTTGGTCAGCACGTCCGCGACATTGTTCTTACCAGGAACCGCGGCGATCGAGAGGTCGCCCTTGCCCACGCGCTCCTGGATCCACAGGTATCGGGATTGAACATGTCGCATCTTCCCGAGACCTCGCCGTTGGACGTGGCCCCGGGCCGCCGATGAGTCTGAGGCGAGCTCCACCTTCAGGTCCAGCCCCCAATCTGCGAAGAGGCTGTGTAGACCCAGGCCCACGCTCCCGCCCTTCACCAGGGCGTAGTACTCGCTCTCCCCACTGCTCAGAGAGACCGTCGACTGAAGATTACTGCCGTGCTTGATGACGTGATGCCCCAGCATCGCCACGAAGCCTCCGGTACTTTTCCGAGTGACTGCGCAGCCCGCATGATCGGAGTCCACGTACACTCGGATCTTGTCGAACATCTTCTGCTCCGTGAAGACCGTCACCGTACTGGGATGCCGCTTAAGGTAGCGGCCAACCCTCTTGAGCATGAGCCAACTCGCCTCCGTCGGCGTCTGCATGGACCTGGCGAGCGTCTTCGATGCCTCTGCCAAGTCCAGCCTGTCCTGAGACAGGTAGGCTACCCTCATGGTGAGGGATCGGAAGCGCGAAGCTTCCGCCGTTCCCAGCGCCGCCGACTTCGCGTCCATCATCTGCTTGTCGGCGCTGCGCTTCTCCATCGGCGTGTCCACGCCGTTGGCCTTGCTGAGACCCAGCTCGTCGATCACGATCTCTGCGTGCCGCTTGTCCGGCTCGATCATCGCATGCCGGCAGGGTCGGCCACCGCCAGGCGGAACTCCCGCACTGACCTCGATGACCCGATTCAGGAAGACCGCCTGCTTGTCGTCGCCCTCGTCGAAGCCGAGGTTCGCAGTCTTCTTGAACTCGTACTTCTTGCCTAACGTGGCTTCGAAGCTGTCGATGTCCTGCTGCTGAGCCAGCACCGCGAAATCGTCGCCGTGCCCCAGCAGCCTCGTCTCGTCCACCTCCTTGTAGAAGACCGCTGGGCATGACACGCCCGCCTTGTAGCCGTGTTCCTCCAACAGCTCCGTGTAGTCGCCCTGCCAGATCTTGCTGGCGTCCTGCGTGCCGTACCAGGACTTGAGGAGTAAGCCACACTTGTCCTCACCGTACTCCTTGCGACTCTCCTCCTCCAGCTCCACGAAGATCCTCCGCTGCGCCTTCCCGTAGAAGTGCGCCCTGCTGATGTCGAAGAAGCCGATCTTGAAGTTGCCCGGCTTCCTGCCCTTCTTGCGAAGCGACTCCTGAATGTGGAGCGGTGCTTCCCGCGTCCACGTGACCATCAGCGAGACCAGCGACCGCATGGCCTCCAGCGGAGGCATTGCCGAGAAGACCTCGGACGCCTCCAGCTGCTCGTCAGGACGCTTCTTCGCCTTGATCTCCTTCACGACGAGCCTGCTCCTGTAGTTGGGCCTCTCCGCGTCACCCTTGTTCGTGTCGACCCACTTGAGTGGGATGGGCGGACGCCCAGTCTCAGCGAAAGCCTGAGACCTCGGGACGATCTCGATCAGCTCCTGCTTCTTGACCCACTCGCGCTCGACCGCGCGAGCCTGGGCCACAAGGCCCGCCTCCAGGTAGCCGCCATTGACGTCGTCCCAGTAGCTCGTCCAGTCCCCGGGCGGCACCGCCGCGTCCACAGGGACTGGGCCCGACTGCTGCACCTGGGCGGTGCTGAGCTCCCCCACGTCATTCAGCGTGTCCTTGAGCTCCTCCAGCACCGCCTCCACCAACTTCGGTGGATAGACCTTCGCAAACCGCGCGATGCCGCCCACGAGCGTGATGTGGCGATGCCACTCCGCGCGTCCGTCCACATTGCTGCAAGTGCCCTGCAGTCTCCGGGCTAAGCCTGGGTGGTTGGTGACCCACCCGGTCTCCTTGCGCACGAACTCCTCCTGGCCACTGCGTGGGTTCGTGAGCTTCATGCCCCACCGACACATGGGGCCTTTGACCGTGAAGACTCCTGGATGCGCGACCAGCTCCTTGACGATGTCCTCATTCCACGATCGCGCGCTCCAGGGATGCTCATGCAGGAAGTACCTGCCTGGCTTCCTGAGCTGACGCCAGTAGGCGTCGACTGCCACCTTCAGGTGGTGTCTGGCCTCCTCCATCTCAGCCGCCTCCTGCTCATCGGTCCTGAACTTGGCGCTCAGGCCCCTCAGCAAGCTGAACTTCTCGCATGGAGGGGACCCTGTGAGCAGGATGGGATCCATCCGCTCCTGCTGCTCCTCGAGCTCCTTGACATCCTCGGGTCGCCGCAAGTCCCACGGCGCCCCGTCCTCCTTGAGTTCCTCCAGGTCCGCCGCGAAGCCCGGGCGCAGCTGAAACTCCGCCGCCCGAGCCGAGAACCGATGTGGCGAGTACACCTCTGCCACGTCCACGGCGCCCAGCTGCAACGCCGATAAGGCGATGCTGTCCACCTCTTCGTCGGCGATGTCCACGCCGACGCTGGCCCAATGGCCGCTGACCTGCTCGCGAACGAGCGGAAGCAACTCCGCCTTCGCTCTCGTCAGCACTCCGAGCTCGACCAGCTCGATCGACGCCACGTCGAGAGCGAGCACCCGCATGTGTCTCCCCTCACTGGCGTTCCACACGACTGCCACTCCAGCTGGCAGCTGAGGTCCTTCCGCTGGCGCCGGCTGCGCCGCGAGATCCTCCATGTCCACCGGTACCGGCACGTCTGCCGGCTGTGGATCACCGCGCTCGAGGGCCTCCGGCACGTCATCCGGGGCCACCTCCGCCAAGCGCTTCAGCCGCGACCTGGTCGCGGTCATGTCGACATCCTCGGCGGCCTCTGCCGCTCTCACTGCTCCCGAACTGGAGCTCGCTCCTCCTGAAGGAGCCGCCACGCCGGAGCCTGATGCTCCCGGCTGGCTCTCTCGCATGCGCGCCGCTGCGGCTGGCGCTGCTGCCGATCGGCTCGCGGCCGGCGCCGACGCCGCCGCTGCCACCGGCTCGGTGATCCTCCGAGCCGTCTTCGGCGGAGGGGTCCCTGCCGCGGCCGCTGCCGCCGGGCGGACTCTGGCCTCTTGGCCCTGCCTCCGCTCTCGATACTGGCCGGTCCTCTCCCGGCCTGCCTCCTCAGCGTCCAGCGCTTCGAAGATTCTCTTGCTGCACACCGCGTTGTGCGCATGGCCAGCCAGCACCTTGCCGTGCTTGGCGATCGAGACGCACCCTGGGCATCCCGGCGTTGCGCCCAGCCGCTCGACGTCCGCCTTGAGAACGCACATCCTCCTCGGCGCCTGCGGCTGCGGCGGCACCACCACAATCGGTGGCGGACCGACCTCTCCCGGTCCGACGATGGCTCGCGGCGCACTGGCCGCACGCGGAGCCACGTCCCACGGCAGGCCCTTCAGGCTGTCCCAGCCCGCCGTGATCCACTTCTCGCTCTGCGGCAGGCTGCGAAAGCCGACCGCCTTCTTCACACCGTCGCTCGTGATGACCATCATCGAGCCGTCGCGCGGGTGGTGGCCGATGTAGCGAGCCTCCACCATCTGCTCCTCCAGCGCGTTCTTCCTCGCGCGCTCCCCGGCGAACCGCACCATCAGGCGCTCACCGAAGAGCGGGACCGGCTTCCTCCACTGCCGTCCCGTGAGCCGCTGAAGAGCGGTCTTGCCGTCCTGGCCGCGCCTGTATCGGTTGATCACCGATGCGGCGTGCTCCGGCAGGTGCGCTAGCACTGGGTGCTTGTCCTCCACCTTGACGCCCAGCTTGGACTCCAGGTCCATCTTGAGCGCTCGCACCTGCTTCTTGATCTCGCGCACCGTGACCTCGATCTCCCCATTGGCCTGATGATCGGCCGGTGCCGACTCCTGGGGAATGGCCTCGAGGCCAGGAACCTCCTCCACCGCACGCCTCTTGACCAGCAGGATCGCTGGCTCGCCGTCGGACTTGTTGACGATCTTCCTGTAGCCCAGGATCCGTAAGAAGCGTGCGAAGAACTTGATGGCGTAGGCGTCGTCGCCCTTCTTCTCCACGAATGTCGCTGCCATCATCTTCGAGCGTCGATCCCTAAGGACCAGCATCGGCATGGTGTCCGCGTCGTCCTGGCCCATGAAGGCGTAGTCGGACGAGACCACCGGCACCGCCGTCTCGTCGTCCTCCGGTGCGCGGAGATGCGGCTGGCCTTGGCCCTTTGCCGCAATACACACGCGACACCAGCTGCGGTAGGTCGCGTGTCCCATCGCCTCGTGCTCGACGATCTCCCTCTGAGAGGGCTCGTGAGGTGCCTTCAGCACCCTCGGGCGAGCCTCCTCCTCGCCCTCGTCGGCCTGCTGTCCATCAGGAGCAGCTGGCAAAACGTCGGCCGCGGCAGCTGCCGCTGGCTGAAAACCCGGCGGTCTCATGTCGGAAGGTCCCGACCCCGCCGCTGCCACCCCTGCAGCCGATGCCGCAGGGGACCGCGGTATTGAGTCTTCCAGTGGACTTACGCCAAGGGCTGCCTCCTGGGGACTGTCCTCTCGAAGATCTCCAGCAGCTCCTCCTTCGACTTGCTGCTGAGGAGCTCCACCAGCTCGGACTTCGACTTCGCCGAAAGTCCCTCCTCGAGAGGAGCAACCGAGCCATGTTGGCCCTTCTTGAGGTAGAAGTTGTAGACTCCCTGCTCACGATAGACCGGCAGCATCTGGTGCTTCGCCGTCTTCGCCTCCTTCTCCAGCATGCCTACCACGCGCTTGCCGATTGGGCTCTTCTCGTGGAATATCCAGCCGCCATTGCGGCCTAGGAATGAACACTGTCCAGCTCCTGCTGCCTGCCCCACCGAGATCAACGGCTTGTGCACGTTCGTCACGCGTCCCTTGAGCGCTCGTAGCACTCCGTACTCGTCCTCCGCCTTGAGCTGCAAGCTGCCCTCGTCCGGGACGAGCTCACCACTGGCCGTACGATACGTGCTGCCGTTGCCCTTCATTCCCGTCGGCGGCGCGAAGCTCCGAGGGAATGCTGAGACAGCTGCACCGCTGTCCCAGTTGAACTTCATCCAGTCGTCCTGCACGAAGGGGGAGAGGTCGACCGCCGCTACGCCGCGGCCGTTGCCGCTGGCGAGCTCCAGGCAGTCCAAGCTGCCCATGTCCAGAGCGGCGACCTCCGCCTCAGGCTCCTCCTCCAGGCTGCCTGCCGCCTTGCCGCCGGCCTTGCCGCCGCGGCTGCCACCTTTACCACCAGCGCTTGCCCCCGTTGCGGATCCAGTTCCAGCCCTCGTACTCGATCCCTGCTCTTTCCTCCAGCATTCGGATGCCTTGTGGCCCCATCTCTCGCAGTTCCGACAGTAGCCGTCGAAGCGCACGCCGGTGCTTCGGGGTGCCATGTGCCCTGAACCACGGCCCGAACCCGTCGGGGATGTGCGGGAGCCTGAGTATGATCCGCTCGTCGATTTGCTCTTCCCCTTCGGCTCCTGGGTCTTGCCTTTCCCTTTGCTCTTGCCGTCCTTGCCCTTGCCTTTGCCTTTTCCTTTCGGGGCTCCGAACGATCCGACGTCCATGTCGTCCGGATGATGCGCCCGTGCGCGGATCGATGGCTCCTTGATCTTCACGCCTGTCCGAGCCTCTACGATCGTCATTACCTCGTTCAGGCTGTCCTGGAACGTCACGAGCCGATGCTTGTTGAGTACGAGGTGGTTCTCGATGTCCTGAGGCACGAGCATCTCGAGGGCCGCCATCTTGATATCCTCCGGCAACTCGGCCAGCCCGTCTTCTCCTTGGCGGCGTTCGTACTTGCCTATCTGCTGGATCCACTTCTCTAAGGCGGACCCCAGCTCTTCCGCGTTGCACTTCGGAGGCGAGATGATCGACCTCAGGATCAGCCTCTTCCTCGGACCTGTCGTCGGGTCCCACCTGCGGTGAAGCTTCCGCCAGGCCTCGAGACCGTTCCCGTCGGGTGCGCCCGTCACGAGGTCGTTGCTCTCGCTGCCGTCCGCCGTCGTGCTGATCAGCGCCGCGTACAGCTGGTTGATCTTGGTCTCCAGCTCTGGTACTCCTCCGTGCGCCTCCTGTGCCCCTTCGATCGTCACGGGGCGTTCGGCTTCTGCCGCCCACCGGAGAACAGGACGGAAGCTCTCTCCGTACACGCCTATCACGTAGTTCTCCATCTTGCGGTTCCAAGCTCCGAACTTCTCCTGATCGTCGCCTAGCGTCGTGGGCTTGCCGATCCCCTTCGTGTCGACGAGACCGGGTGCGGCTCCTCCCGCGTTCGTAGCGCCTCGGATCTGCTCGCCCATGCGCTCGATCGCCTGCGGGATCGCCGCGAGGCCTCCTGCTACTTGCTGCTGAAGCCGTTGATTCTCGTTCTCCAGCCTCCTCATCTCGTCGACGGTCTGACTCATTCGGGCTGCGAACTCCTGCCTCAGTAAGTCGAACTGCTGCCGAACTTGCTCGTCCATGTTTGACTGCGTGTCTCCTGGCGAGCTCCTCCTTGCTCTCAGCTATCTCCTGCCTCGTGCGCTCGAGGTCTATGATCTGATCCAAGACCTCCTTCTTTGCCTCCTCGATGGCGCCCGACGAATTCTCCGACGGGTGGTCCTCGATATACGCGAGGTCGTGCAGCTTGTTGCCTGTGTCCTTCAGGCCGTGTTTGAACTGAAGCTGACGGCGTCTATTCTCAACCGCTGCGTCGCTCCTCTTGCCGCGCCTGCGGCCGCTCTTCCCGGCTCCTGCCGGTCGACTCCTCCCGGACTCTGCCGGTGGTCTCCTCTCAGCCTCTGCCGGTGGCCCGGCCGCTGCCGAGCTTGGTGCGGCTGATGCCGCTCTCTTCCAGCCTCGGGTCTCAGCCCACGCGCCTTGCCAACTCGCCGTGGCGCCCGCGCGCGCCAAGGCCCTGGTGGGTTGGCAACAGTGAGTGGCCAGCTCACGCTACCATGATGAGATAATGTGTTGATTAGCAACAAGATCTCTTTTCATCTTGAGCCAAAATGGGTACACGGAGGAGGGTGTCAGAATCACAGGGGGCCCCAGCACAGATCCAAGGAACACGCGCGGAGCGTCGAAGGTTTATGTTTGTGTTTTTGTTTTGCTTTGACTCTCATCCCACATCTCTCATCACCAACCTCCTCCCCAACAGGCCAGGCAGCAACCGATCCGCAGAAGCTGGGCTGGGGCCGCCCCCACCGCCTCGAACTTGAGGTCCGTCCCAACGGTCACCTCTCGGGGAGGACGCCGGGGAGCCGGAAGGGGCGGCCAGGGAAGGGCGGCCAAGGAGTGGCAGGATAGGTGCAGACCTGTGGAACATTCCCCCCCCTCTTCCTCCGCAACCCGGGGTTCCCCCCCCCTCCGAATATCCCCCCCCTCCCTGCTGGACCCCCCCCTCTTCCCCCCGGCAAAACCCACCCCCTCCCTTAACCCCCCCCCCCTTCTCCAGAAAACCGGGGGGGTCACTACCTGTTCGACCCACCCCCCCCTCGAAAACCGACGGGGGTCACTACCGTTTCGAACCGAACCGCTCCCCCCTCCCCCCAGAAAATCAGAGAGGGGTCACTACCGGTTAGAAACCCCCCTCCCCTCCGGAAAACCAGAGGGGGGTCACTACCGGTTCGAACCCCCCCCCTCCTCGAAAAACTGAGGGGGGGTCACTACGGGTTCGAACCCCCCCGCCCCCTCGAAAACCGGGGGGGGTCACTACGGGTTCGAGCCCCCCCCGTCCCCTCGGGAACGGGGGATTCTGGGGTGGCGGCTTTCGGGGGCCGACGCGCGGCACGATTGACTTCCGAGGTGCGCGTTGCAGCGCGGGTGGGGGTGAGAAGGAGGGCCTGGTATATCGAGAGACAGCGGGAGAGAGAGAGAGAGAGAGAGGGAGGGAGCGTCGGAGAGAGAGAGAGAGAGAGAGAGAAAAAAAAAAAAAACAGAGAGAGAGAGAGATAGAGAGAGAGAGAGAGCCAGAGACTTAAATATATATATATATATATATATGAGAGGAGAGAGAGAGAGAACAAAAAAAAAAAAAAAAAACAAAAAAAAAAAAAACATGGCGTGGGAGCGGCGCGGTAGGGGGTAGGGGAGACGGAGGGAGCGGGAGAGGGAGGAAAGGGCGAGAGGCCAGAACGCCCCCTCTACCGCCCGCGGCGCCGCCTGGGGGTGGGGGGGGGGGGGAGGAGAAAAGAAAAGATCGGCCTGACCCCCTCTTTTTGTTTTTTTTTCTTCCCCCCCCCCCCAAGAAGCGCTCGAGGGCCGCCGCTCCGAGGCCGCCGCTGCTGGCTTCGAGGGCCGGCCCCGCCGCCGCCACTTGCGATGTCCCCGGGTGCCCCTTAAGCTCCCTATTCCTCCTCCCCCCTTTGCCTGCCCCTTGTTTTCTTTTTTCTGTTCGTCCAAGGCGGCGCGCTGGCGGCGGCCCTGACAGCCATTGTTGCGGACGGGTGGCTCCTGTGGAATAGCCCCGGTACGATGCCCTGTATATTGTGGTGATGCTCCACTGCTGATGCGATGCTCCAGTGCTACTGGGCGAGGCATTGCTTGGCATTCGTTGGTCATGCTTGAAGCTGCTTGCAAACGAGTGTTCCTGCTTGGCCTTGGTTGGTTGTGCTTGGCGTTGCTTGGTTGCGTTTGGCATTGAGTGGTCGTGGTCGGCTTTGCTTCGCACTGGCTACTCGTGCTTGGCATTTCTCAACATTGCGCGATCGCGCGTGGCATTGACTGGTCGACCTTAGCAATGCCTGGCATGGCTTGGTCGAGCGCGCCTTTGAACAGTCGCGCTTGGCATTACGTGGCATTCGTTGATCATGCTCGGCGTTGATTGGTCGCGCATGGCATTGAATGGGCGTGCTTGGCATCGCTTGGCATTGGCTGGTCATGCTTGGCGGTGCTTGGCAATGTGTGCCCCCGCTCGTGCCATTGCCTGGCGCGTGTAGGGCATGCTTGGCATTGGATGGTCGTGTTTGGCATTGGTTGGTCGTGCTTGGCGTTGTTCGGAATTGTTTGGTGATCCATGGCGCTGCTTGGCATTAGTTTGAGGTTATGAGCATTGGTTACTCGTGCTTGGCATTGCCTTGAATTGTTGGGTCGTGGTTGGCGGTGCTAGACAGTGTGTTGTCCTGCTCTTGACATTGCCTGGCATCTGTAGGCGCTGTTTGGCACTGAGTGATCTTTACATGACTAGGGAAACCTGGTTGAATAACCATCACTGGTGAATTCTGGCGGAGGAACCTTCACTCAGAAATCCATAATCAGGAATGCTCTAAAGCAGCACATATTGCATTATTTTGTGAAGAATTGCTCGAAGTTGGCGAGGAATCTCCATGGGGGAATCCGGATGAGAAATCGTTGCTGTGGGCTCCTTGATAAGGAACATGTTATAAGAGATCCTTCGTCGGGAGTTGCGAAGGAGCCTGAATCAGGAATCGTGATTAAGGGGTCCTCAGTACTGAATACTTACACTGGAGTTCGTAGTAAGGGAACTTCACGAAGGAATCCGTAGGTGTGTCGTGCTTGGCGTTGTTCGGAATTGTTTGGTGATCCATGGCGCTGCTTGGCATTAGTTTGAGGTTACCGGCATTGGCTATTCGTGCTTGGCGTTGCCTTGAATTGGTGGGTCGTGGCTGGCGGTGCTAAGCAATGGGTTGTCATGCTCTTGCCATTGCCTGGCATCTTTAGGCGCTGCTTGGCACCGAATGATCTTTACATGACTAAGGAACCCTGATTGAATAACCATCACTGGGAAATCCTGGCTCAGGAACCTTCACTCAGAAATCCTTAGTAATGAATGTTCTAAAACAACAAAAATCATCATTTTGCGAAGGATTTTGTCGAGATGAGCGAGGAATCTCCATGGGGAGTCCGCATGATATATGGTTTCTGAGGGATCCTTGATAAAGAACCTGTTATAAGAGATCCTTCGTCGGGAGGTTCGAGGGAGCCTGAATCAGGAATCGTGACTAAGGGGTACCTAGTATGGACCATTTACAGGAGTTCGCAGTAAAGAAACTTCAAGAAGGAATCCGTAGACGGGAAGAATTACGAAGGAGAATTCAATCCGGAATCTGTATGAGAGAATGTTTACAAAACAATCCTTGATAAAAAAAAACCATGCTGGAGAATCCATACTCCGGAACCATTACCAAGGGAATCCTTAGCAAGGAATCGGCCCGAAAGGATGCTTATGAATAACGTCGATATTACGGAATATGTAGTAAAGCAACCTGCATCAAGAAACCTGTATCAAGAAACTTGGCTGCACTAGAGAAGATGTGCGAAGGAATATTTCGCAATACCTATGTACTAAAGAATCTGCATTCAGAGATTCGCGTTGAAGAATGCGCAATGAGAACCTTTATTGGGGTTTCCTCGCTCAGGAATCATCGCCCGGGGTTCCTCACTCAGGAATCCTTCGTCTGGGAACTTTACCAATAAAGGCATGCGGTGGAATCCTCACTAAAGGGTCTTGTACAACAATATTATGCATTATGTAATCGTTGCTCATAAATCTAACCTAAGGAAACTCGATCTATGAACCCTAAGGAATCCTCGGTGAGGAGCGTGCATCGAAGAATCCTCACTATAACGAACCCTCCGTGAGGAATCCTCATTGAGAAATCCTCCTTCGCAATGAATCCGCAGTAAGGAACATGTGCGAAGGAATATGTGTAAAGGACCCTGTATGAAAGAGTGCTTAATGAGTAATCTGTGTTAAGGAACCCGCAGTAATGAATTTTGAATAAGGAGTCCTGGCAAAGGAATCGTCAGCGAGGAACCGTTGTCAACGAATCTAAATTCATGAAACTCGATTGAGGCATCTTTCTTGCAGTCTTCTCCAAGCAACTCTTACGGACGGTTCGTGATTCATGAATATGCTCGAAAGAATCTGCATCATGGAAACCTGATTAAGGAACGTTTACTGAGGAATTCTTCCTTAGGAATCCCTCCAGAGGAATATACAGAAGGAAATCCTAGGAGACGGCAGACGCTGCGCGCAAGCCATGCCGACCCCGACGGAGACGGCGGACGCCGCGCGCAGGCCCCGCCGACCTCTGCAGTCCTAACGAGGCTCGAATTGCCATCAGGATGCTGCCAACAATGCGCCAAACGCCAGGGCGAAAACACCGCGTTTGAAAAAGATGCCGCGGCGCCGAGGCGAGAGCGCGAAATGCCGCCGCGGCGCGGGCCCCAGACCGCCACCCCAGAATCCCCCGCCCTCCGAAAACCGGGGGGGTCACTACTGGTTCGAACCCCTCCCCCCCCGGCGCCCACCGCCAACAAACAACACGTTCAACACTGGGCCCCTACCACTGTCCGCACCACATCCCCCACTGCTGTCCCAAGCGCCCGTCACCACTGTCCTCACCAGTTCCCCCACCACTGTCGCACTGTCCCCACTGTCCCCATCACTGTTCCCACCACCGCTCCACTCTCCCCACTTTCTCCACGGCCCCAACCACTGTCCCACTGTCCCACTGTCCCCGCCGCTGTCCCACTGAGCTGTCCCACTGTCCCCACCACTGCCCCCACCACTGTCAATACTGTACATCTGTCCCCTTATCCCATCGCCGTCCTCGCCACCGCCCTCACCACTGTCGCCACCACCACTGTACCCTCCACTGTCCCACTGTTTCCACCACATTACCACTGTCCCCACACGTCTGTCCCCACCACCACCGTCCCCACCACTGTCCAATTGTCCCCACTGTTCCCACCATTGTCCCCACTGTTCCCACCATTGTCCCCGCTGTCCCCACCAGTGCCCCCACCAGTGTGTCACTGTCCCCACTCTCCCCGCCATTGTCCCACCACGGTCCCACTCTCCCCACGGTCCCCACCACTGTCCCGTTGTCCTTACAGTCCCCACCACTGTCCCGTTGTCCTTCCCGTTGTCCTTACAGTCCCCACGGTTCCCACAGTTCCCACCACTGTCCCACTGTCCCCGCCGCTGTCCCACTGTGCTGTCCCACTGTCCCCACTGTCCCCCCCATTTTCCCCACTGTACTACTGTCCCACCGCTGTCCTCACCACCGCCTTCACCACTGTCCCCACCACCACCGTTCCCACCACTGTCCCATTGTCCCCACCACTGTCCCGCTGTCCCCTCACGACTGTCCCCGCCACCACCGTCCCCACCACTGTCCGCACCACTGTCCCACTGTCCCCGCACCACTGTCCCCACAACCACCGTTCCCACCACTGCCCCAACATCCCCACCTTTCTCCAACTGTCCCGAGGAGCGGGCATCGTTTGCCGGCGGCGAGGGAGGGGGGAGGGGAGGGGTTCGAACCGGTAAGGACCCCCCCCGGTTTTCGAGGGGGGGGGTTCGAACCGGTAGTGACCCCATCCTGTTTTCGAGGGGAGGGGGTCGAACCCGTAGTGAACCCCCCTAATTTTCGAGGGGGGGGGGGACGGGTTAGGAACCCCCAGTGACCCCCCTCGGTTTTCCTCCAGCAGCGGTAGAACACGCTCTTTCGGATCTGTGGGTCCCAGAGCGGTGCTGGGACAGGCCGTGCGGTGACCGCGGGATCCCCAGAGACCTCACCACGAGGTCTGGCGCCGAACGGTCTTGGGACCCTGGAGGCCCCCATCGCCCGAGACGTCCTCGGATCACAACCCAGGTCCCAACACCGTGCGGTCACCCCGAATCCCCACTTACTCACCACACGGTGTGGTCACCGCACCGTTCGAGAGGCCCCCTCACCAGGCGGGCCCAGGGGCCCGCCTCCTCGAGAGGACAGCGGCGGGGCCAGGGCGCCAGGACAGCTTCTGGACCGTCTGGCGGGGCCGTGGACCATGCGGGCGTCGCTGGGCGATGCTATCGTTAGGCCGGGCGTGTCCCCCTACAGGTGGATCTGGGGCGAAAAAGTTAACATAAGCAAAAAAGATGCAACAACAGTCAAAGATAGGAAAACGTCGTCCCTGACTGTGTTTGACAATTGTTGAATATTCCTGCTGCAGAGGGACGTGCTCGATTTAATACTACCGGCGATGTCTGGGTCCCGGCACAAGGTTCTGAATGAGCGCTTGCCAGAAAAAACCATGGACGGATCGGATCGACTCGGCGGGTGAAAGCAAGCATCCTGCTCTGCAGCGCCGCCAGGGGCCCTCTGGGTCACAAGTGTGGAGCTTCGAGCTCGAAGACATTCGCGACGGTACTTCTATCACGCCCTGCCCTGCTGCCAAAATACGCCGCGGCCTCAACCGTCCACCGACACTGCGGACGACGTCCCTCTCTCCCTCCCTCCCTCCCTCCTCCATCTGCCTCCTCCTCCTCCTCCTGATCGAGGAGCGAAGGAGGAGGAGGAGGAGGAGGAGGAGGAGGAGGAGGGGGAGCGGACCAGGCCTGAGACCCCAGGACGTCCATGGATGTATGGTGCGGGATAGGTCACGCCTTCCATCGCAAAACCATCGAAACCCAGGGCACCCTGGAGGAAAGCAGGGTGTTTCTTGGCATAGGCCCCCACTGTAGGGGAAGAGAAAGCGCCATCAACACAACTACTCGGGGCTCCGCGCGGAGTTCCGAGGCGCCGCCAGGGAGCCCAACAGTGCCGGACGACAACCGTGGAGCAGGGACCCGACCTTGATGCTAGAGTTTCTGGCGGGTCGCGAACCCTAGCGCACTCTGTGGGAAAGAACACACAGAAAACACACAGTCTGTGGGACAGAACATACACAAAAGCATACAAACACATACACCAAACACAAAAGCACACAAACAACACACACACGTGGGGGGAACAAAAACCACACACGTGGGAACAAAAGCACGTGTGTTTTTTTTTGTGTGTGTGTGTGTGTGTTTTCCCACCGTGTGTGTGGTTTTCCCCCACAAGCTCTTGTGTTTCCCACCGTGCTTGTTTGTCCACCGTGTTTTTTGTGCCCACAGGGCCTGAGATCAAACCTCGAGAGGCCCTCCATCCTCCTCAGTGCTATCATCGTGCCCCCATCCTTTTCCACCCACCATTCTCGTTATCCTCCTGCCGCCCTCCGACTCTGCCTCGCACTCCTGCCTCACTCCACCCTCCCGTCCCCCTCTTCCTTCTCCTCCTCCCCCCCCTCCTCCTCCTCCTCCTCCTCCTCCTCCTCCTTTTCCTCCTCCTCCTCCTTATCCTCCCGCCTCCGCCTCCTCCTCCTCCTCCTCCTCCGCCTCCTCCTCCCCCTCCCCCTCCTCCCCCTCCTCCTCATCCTCCTTCTTCTCCTCCTCCTTATCCTCCCGCCTCCGCCTCCGCCTCCTCCTCCTCCTCCTCCGCCTCCTCCTCCTCCTCCTTCTACTCCCGCCTCCTCCACACCCCCAAGCGCGCTGCGCGCGCGGATGGGATGAGGGGAGGAAGGGCGGAGGGGGGGAGGGGGTGAATACTGGGCAAAAAAAACACCCACAGACTCAGCACCTCTGCAAGCGGAACCCTTTGCATGAACGCGCCTCGTGGAGGAGCCCAACCCACTGCAAGGCTGCCAAAGAGAAACACGCCCAGGACCCACTCGGCAGGCGCAGGTCATGGGCGTAGCGGGGGCTTCTCTTCCTGTCTCGAAGGCGGAGGTGAAGCTCTGGCTTTCACTCTGCGTTCCGCTCGGGGATCCCTCGAGCGAGGAGGCCCCGGGGCGACGGGAAGGCAAGACCAGCGCCTGGGCTGGGGCCCAGAGTGCCGACGAGACGGCAGGACAATCACGGGGCAGCAAGGAGCGCCCAGCCCGGGGCCCAGCCTGGGCGAAGGGCGCTGCGTGGCGAGACGGAGGAGGAAAAGGGGGGAGAAGGATGAGGGCGGAGGAGGAGGAGGGCGGACGAGGAGGAGGAGGAGGAGGAGGAGGAGGAGGAGGAGGAGGAGGAGGTGGGGGAGGAGAAGGAGGGAGGAGGAGGAGGGGGAGGAGGGGAGGAGGAGGAGGGAGGGGAGAGGAGGAGAGGGAGGAGGAGGAGAGGAGGAGGAGGGGAGGAGGAGGAGGGGAGGAAGAGGAGGGCGGAGGAGGTGAGGAGGAGGGAGGAGAGGAGGGAAGGAGGAGGTGAGGAGGAGGAGGCGGGGAGGAGGGGAGGAGGAAGGAGGAGGAGGAAGGAGGAGGAGGGGAGGACGAGGAGGGGAGAGTGACAGTCCCCCCAAAAAGAGGCCTGCGCGTACGTGACGGCGTCCGTCGCGTGGCGCTCGGCGAGCTCCAGGCCGGAGGGCCTGCGGCAGACCTCGACGCACCTGCCGTGCCTCGTGATCTCGCCTCGGGGGGGGAACGGGGAGGAGGGGGAGGAGGGGGAGGAGGGGGAGGAGGAGGAGGAGGAGGAGGAGGAGGAGGAGGAGGAGGAGGGGAGGAGGGAGAGGGAGGAGAAGGAGGTGGAGGAGAGGGAAGAGGAGGGGAGGAGGAGAAGGAGGAGAAGGTGGAGGGAGGAGGAGGAGGAGAAGGTGGAGGAGGAGAGGGGGAGGGGAGGAGGAGAGAGAGGAGGAGGAGGAGGAGGAGGAGGAGGAGAGGGGAGGGGGAGGAGGAGGAGGTGGAGGAGAAGGTGGAGGAGAAGGGGGACGCAACAGGAGGCGGAGGCGGAGGCGGAGGAGGAGGAGGACGAGGAGGAGGAGGAGGACTCGGCTCGGGAACCGGTGGAGACCAGGTCTAGCCTTGTCACGATGCGAGCCCACATCAGAAGGAGGAATTGCCACTGCAATTGGGGGTGAGGCCCCTGAGACAATCGGGGCAAATCCCCCTTCCCAGCCTTCGGACGAAGACCATCAATAACTTTGCACGGAGGTCGAACAATTCCACGCCGAAGCAGTGCTGTGAAGTCCAAACCTCTCGCATGAGATCGCGCATCGCAGCACTCGCAACACTGCGAGCACTTGCACGGTTCGGGTACGGGGGGTGGAGCAGGAGGGTCAGAAACGAGCTCAGAACCTGCACGAGGCCCGAGGGAGAACACAGAGCGAGGAGGAGGAGGAGGGTCAGGAAACAGCCTCTGGGACGTCTTGGTAGGAAGGCTATTGGGCCAACTTGAGGGGCCAGCAGGCCAGACTAACCCAAATAATGGAACTACAGTCGGGGCGTTGACCTAAGGAACCCTAAATAAGGAACGAGGCCCCTCCTTTCCCATAAAAAACTTCAATTCCCCATCGAAAACCTTGGGAACACCTAAAGCAAACTGTGAAACAATCAAGGAACACGGAGCCCCTTTCCAACGAACAGGGTTCCTTCTTCAAGACCCCTACTGTAAGTCGGATGGGCCCGGTTTTCGAACACGGACATGCCAGCTCCGATGCTGAGAGCAAGCTCCCAGGAGCTGCGTCCCGAAAGAGGGAGGCAGGGGACGGGGCGGGGGGGGGCTCAGGGGAGGGGAGGCAGAAAAAGGGGAGGATGGTCTTTTCTGGGGCGCTCGAAGGATGCAGTCGTGCTCTGGATGCTCCAGCGTCCTGGGCCGGCCCCTGGGAGAGCCCCCCCCCCCCAACCAAGCGCGCCACGTCCAAGACCCGATCGACCCTCGGAGGCCGGACGCCGCGCATCGCCGACCCAGCAGGTCGCCGACGCTCCCGGGGAGGCCAGAGCGCCGGGACCGGCACCCAGAAAGTATTCGTGGCTGTTGCCTTGGGAGTGGTCCTTTGGATCAGATCGAGCCCGTCCTGGTTCGCGGGATCGCGGCATGGAGGAAAGCGGGGAGAGACAGGGTGAACGTCGTTGTGGATGCCATGGCAATGGGCACCCTGGCAACCCTGCCGCTGCATGAAACATGTGTGCTCGAATGTGTCTGGAGCATGTGCTGAACATGTTTGCAACTTGTAGCGTGCATGCTTAATACACCTTAAGAAACAACACATGTATTATACACATGGAGATTATCTTGCAACACGCCTCCTCTCCTTGGTTCCTCCTCCACAATTTGGACGCCCGAAATGGGTACGGAAGAAATGGGCACAATGCCCAACAACAAATGCTGCCCCAAACCAACAGCGGCCGCTGTTGGGCAGGCGGCCCTCTGCCTCAAATGGACACGGGCCGCGGCGGCGTGGACAGCGAACCCTGCTCAAAATGAACCAGAACTGCTGTTGAGCATTGGTAACCATTCTTTCCGTGCCCATCTCCTTCGTAGAGACACAATTTTTGACCCGCGGGTCGAGAGCGCACCTCTTCCGGCCTAGGCTAAGCGGGCCGCGCAGAAGCTTGAATTAGGCAGAGAAGGGGGAGGAACAGGGGGGCGCAGCCTCAGAACGAGGCCGGGAGGAGGCAAAGCCTTTCGGAATCTGGCGGTGCCGAAGCCGAAGCTCTTGCAGAGGGATGCCTTCGGCAGGAGGAGCCCGGTGGCGAGGTACCGCGGAAGAGCATCATCCCAGACCCCCGACGTCGTGATTTTTTCATGACGTCGCCCCCCATAAGACGAAGCCAGGATCGGGGCAAAGTTTGACCGGGATAAAAATCATGCTCGGTTTTTCAAATCACCGGTGGCGCCGCCGAATGTGCCTGCCACGCCTTGGGCGCCATCGGCTTCGCGAGGGAGGAAATGCGCCCCGGCGCGGGTGAGGCCACGGCGCGTATTTGGCCACGCGCGCGCCTGAGGGAATTCTGCGCGAATCGCGCCTCGCCCCAGAAGACCCGACATTAACAAAACAAAATTGAGGCCCCAAGGGGGCCCCAAGAAAGCGGACCGCCAAACCAGTCACGCAACCAACGCAGAGAAAAACAACACGTAAATATCAAAAAGCGTGTTGCTCAGTGACCTCTTCGGCCATGCAACGCCGCGATAATGCCCGAGAAGGCATTGGGAAAAAGGCCCGCGCGCGGCCCGGCGATGTCCCCGCGCCGCCCCGGGCGCCCCGAAGCGCGACGAAATAACCGTAGAGAAAACCCGGAAAGTCTTTGGAAGGTCCCCGCGCCAAGCAAAATCCGCCAGCGAATAATCTCGCGGGCACCTGGCGCGTGCGCGCGGGGCGTCCACCATGGATGCCCGACTCCGGTTTCCGAGACAATCGCGCGCAACCGCCCGGGGGCCTCGGCAACCTCGCGATTGGCCCCGGGGCCCGCGGGCCCCAGGGAATCGAGGACTGATTTCGCAACTCCCGAAGCACCAGGCGCGGCGCCAGCTGGTCGCTCGTCTCTGGCTGACAATAGGACGCCTGGAAATCCGGTAAAACCTAAAGAACCGCTTTTCAGAGATTCACAGAACCAGGAACCGGGGCGCGCCAAACTCTCGCGTCCGAACTTCTCTCAGAATCTCTGAAAATCTCTGAACTAGCCGCCCCGCCTGAAACATTCCCATAAACCCAAAGCCCCGGAGCTGGCCGAAACTCTCTGAAAGTTTTTCGGCCCGCGAAATTTGGCGCGCCCGGATTTCTGGTTCCGAAATTCTCTGAAATCGGCCTGCGGCGGCGCCCAGCAGGTCCACCCGCGCCCAGGGTGGGGGCCGTGGACATCGCGGGCCGCGATGGCCCCGACCACGAGGTACCTTCCCCTGCCCCTCGACGAGCCCGCGCTCATAGACACGCTCTCTGCGCTGAGCGTGGACCGCGCCATCCGCCGGCACTTCTGCGCGACGACAGCCAACTGGCCGCCGACGGACAAAGCGATTTTTTATCCGAGCTGCGCGTGCCACCGAAAACGTACGATTGCCTCGGGCTCGGAAAGAAACACTTTCGAAGCACTTTCAGGCCGCCAGCGTCGTGGCTGCCGACCCGCCGCGCGCCGGTCGCGAGACTAGCTGGGCCCGCTGCGTCCACGGCGGTGGGCGGGCGCCCAAGAGAGCTGTCGCCGCGGTGCGCGCGGCGGGGCGCCCGCCCCGCTGCAACCGCAAATGCGGCCTCCATGGCGCCAAAGGCGTAATATGCGCGACGCATTCTCGGGACCCCATCAACGCATCGGCCAGCGCCCAAGTCCCTGAAACGCAAACCTACTGCGCCCCCCGTGCAAGCCGTGCACCCGCTCCCAATGCTCGTGCGAACCAATTTTTCTGCCCGCCCCCAACAGTCCAATCGAGCGCCCATGTGTTACTTGGGCCCCCCAAGCCCTCGAACACTCCTTGGGGAACTTCTGCGAATGCGCGCGCTACGCTCCACAAATCGGCGTTCTGTTTTTCTCTGGAAATCTCCCAGAATCTCTGGTTCCGATTTGTCCCGATCTTCCGCTCAACTGACCCCAGAAGTCTGGACCCCTTCCCCGGGACCGGTTTTTCGTCCTGCATCGTTTTTTGACGGTCCCGAGGCCCGGGAAGGGCCCCCAGAGGGCGAAAATAACGAAAAACCTTCCGTCGTGATTTTTTCACGACGCCAGGAGGTCTGGGATGTTCGTGCAGACGCAGGGAGCACCGCTAAAAAGTCGGAGAGCGAGGCCCGCCGGCCGGGCCCCACACCCCCGCGCGCGAGAGCGCGCACGGCGGCCGGCGGCGGGCGCGCGCCGGAGGCCCCCGCCCCTCTTCGCGAAGGAGGCGTGCCAGGGCCCCGGCCGTCCCCGGCCCCGCCCTCTGCCTCGCCCTCGCCCTCGCCCTCCTCGTCGTCCTCGTCGCCGTGGTCGCCGCCGTCGATACACATTGCCATCCTCGTCGTGACCGCTCGCGTCGTCGTGATCGCCGTTTTATCGTCGTTGCCGTTGTCGTCGTTTGTCGCCGTCATCGCCGGTATCGTCGTTGTCGTTATCTTTATCAATATCGTCGTCGTCGTCGTCGTCGTCGTCCGGCGCCCGGGGGCTGCGGTGCCAGAGCCACACGGCGGGGGGAGGGGGGGCGTAACGTTCGGAGCTAGCACAGAAGATCCTCCTGCAAGAACACGGGACCCGCCGACGGCCAAAACACACAGAACATCTTAGGGCCCCCCCCAGAATGCGCGAGAACATCCAACATGCGCGAAGAACGTTGATAGAGGCCTCTTAGATGGGGAGATCCTCCAGATTGCACAAGAACATGCAACAGACACGAAGAACGTTGATAGAGGCCTCTTAGCTGGGGTCGGAGCAAATCGGGTCGGAGGATCGCGCCGCATCGCCGGCGCATCGGCGGGTCGATGCATCGACGATGCGGCGCGACCCTCCGACCCCATCTACTTGGACCCCATCTGGGAGGCCCAGAACAGGAACGTCCAACAAACACAGAGCACCTCAGTCGGCGGCACCCGAACACACTAACACTATGTGTACGTCGCCCCGCGCGGATGTCTCGGATCGGCGTTGGACCCGCCTCCGTGGCGCGCAGAGCGCGCCAGGGGGCGGCGCCGGAGGCGCCGACGAGGGGGGCCCCAGGCGGCGATCCGAGGCATCCG